CTCAGCGAATGCTTTATTGAGCGTTGTAAACAAATTGTGCTGGACAAAGCGTAACCAGGGGAGCGTTTGGGCATTTTTAATAAGTGTAGATTATTTGAAATAAAGTGGTGTATCTTTAATCGTCCTCTTTTTGACCTGGAAACATGAAAACCAGAATTCAAAACCAACTCGAAGCTAATGTGTGGAATTTTTTTAAAATAATTTATTTCTTTTGAGTCCATGCATACGAGAGGGTGTTGAGCTTCCTTCATTTATTTTCTGCTTACCCGGAATAAGGCCCCGAGAGAGGTTTTTTTTTAAGTGTATTTAAGGGGGGGGGGGCTCCTGGGGAGTCGGAGTGTGTGGACAACGTATTATATTCATCTATATGAAGCAAATAAGGGGATACACATATATGTTCGTTATGGGGAATGTGTTGATTGACGTAATCTGTAAAGTTGATTTTGTGGCAGAGTGAAAATGCCTGCGCTTTGATCAGCAAAACATGCAAGAACCAGTCGAACGCGGATGAGAAGCAGCTCCATTGACTGAAAACTTTCGTTACTGCAGGAATCAATATTCTTTGGTTCTTTCGGTAAAGTCATGCAGATAGAAAATGTATTATAATAATAATAATGAAGTGAATACAAATTAAAATGATGTGTTTGTTCATGATTTTGGAAACCTTTCTGGTTACCCCTGCTATGCATGGCAAGGTGATGGTTTTGACTGGATCCTCAGATGGCTCCTTCCTCACGGTTGGGGTGATGGCTTTGCGGATTGTGTAATCAATTCTGACAAGATCCAGGTACCATTTAACACAGTACATAAAATTCGTGATCTGATCCCATCTGTGAAGCACAAGATTCCTGACATGCAATATCCCGGCGTCTACAAACTAAGCTGTAGCTGCAGCAGCAGCAGTTACATTGGGGAAACTAAGCGACGTGTCTCGGACCGTGTTCGCTTGCAATCTTATTAAAAATGATTGGCAAGTGTGACACGTAGTATCCAAATGGAACACATAGCCATTCGCGGCAAATATGATTCATCATTTTGTTTGGGTCGGATCTTGCTGGTTTAAATGTGTCGTACACCCTCCTTCACCGGACAGCCAATAGGGTTGTCACTTGGGCAATCGTACATTTTTTATCAGTGCTTCAGCAAACACCGGTCTTACGGGGGAGAGCAAGTTTACAACAGTTAACAATTTGGTGGGAATGGAGCACCTTAGTCATTAACTTAAAGGGAAGGAGGTGGAATATGAGGCTGTGGTCCCCGTTTTTTTTCTGAACCCTGCTCGAATTGTTGGATAAAGCGGGGCCGGGGAGGAAGGTGGACTCTTGACACTGCACCTTTTTTCTCAAACGCATGACGTCCATTGCTCCCAGGGAAAATTTAAATTGATACTCGGATATCGCGTTGATGTCATCTTATTTTCCCTTTTGTTTGGTTACATTATCCCCCCATCCTATTCTTCTCTTTCCTTCCCCTCCCCTGAAAATATGCTACTCCCGATCGTCATCCCTACGATGGTAGGGCGGTGAGCCCCAAGTGCGTCCAGCTGACGCCCAATTTTTGAGGTTGGTTTCGCCCCGAAATGTTACGCGTTCGTGACCTGTGTTTCCCTCGTGGATGTTTGTATTTTGGGTTCTTGAATAAGAAAAAATAATTGGTACAGACGTTATGCCAATAATTACAACCAGCATCATCAGGTAAATTGCCGCAGTTGTCACAGCGTTCTCCAGTCTTGTGCTTTAAATAGGGGGTCATCAATGTTGCCCACAAGTGAAGCGTGGAGATGCATGGCTTAAGCATAAGTTATGTTTATAATTTGTGCAATTTTACATCGCTCCAAGAGCAATTTTGGTTGTGAGGCCGCCCTAGCCTCACCAAGACGAATCGGGAGAATCTATTGAAATCGAGGGAAATAATGACTACGTCAGAGCTGATGGCTATAGGCTGAGTGTGGCTTAGACGCACATCGTTAAGTAATTCCATGACAACCGTAATTTATCTGTATATACAGGTTGTGAAAGACCCCGCGCAGAAAGTCCCTGGGTTTTATCTTCCACGAAGCTCATGGTCCACCCTAAACCGCATCTGTACAAACCGTGGCAGATGCGGATAACTGATGCACAAATGGAGAATTAAAAACGCAGTGTGCGATTGTGGTCTAACAAGAAAAACACACAACATATAACGACGCAAGGCCCGATCCACAAATACGAAGGAGACATTACAGCGATACATTCATAATAAAGGTTTTTGGCTTAGATCGCGTTATTTGCTAATATTCTCTACCCCCCCCCCCCCCGTCTCTCTCTGCCCCCCTCTCTCTCTATTTAAGGCCTCGACACAGAGGCGTTGTTTCTCTGTGTGCCTATGTGTGTGTGTATCTCTGTGTCGTAACCCTCCACCACCTGACACGGCCAAACAGTAAAAAATGTGTCACGTTGACAAGAGACAAATAGTTCACTACTTTAGCCCACCGGTGAGTTGAAGAGTGAATCCACAGCATTTACATTTTTTTGAGTACGACGTTTCGCTGGTAATTACATCCAGCATCATCGGACAATTCGCCAGAATTATGAAGCCCTCACTTGCTCCCGGTCTTAAATAGAGCAGCAGGGTGACGTCATCATTTAACTCATTCAGATGCAGTGATTTGAGGCGGAGGGGGGGGGGTATTGTAATTATATAATAGATTGGTAATCAGTCAATTGTTATGATTAGTAATGAGTTGTAGATTAGTAATTAGTTGTAATGTGTGTTATTGTAATTACAGTATATGCTACGTTAGTAATCAGTTAATCAGTATGTGTTTCCCCTATAAGGAATTGTATTATGTATTATTTAATAATACGCTTCCAGGCCGCACTAAGCCTGTAGCTGTTAAAGCGATTAAAGTTATTTCTATCAATTTCAATGGATTCTCTAATTAGTCTTGGCCAGTAATAATTCGTTTAACACAACGCGACGGGACTCGTTTCCATCTCTGACCCCGCCCACTTACCCTTGGGTGACGCCCACCTCAGACCTCTATATAACCTCTTGTTGCAGCAGCCCTTTCTTGTTCAGCAGTTCTTCTGCTGTATCTTTCTACCTGATGACGATTGCTCGTGTTGCAATCGAAACGACGTGATTTATTATTATTTTTTCTACCTACGTGACTTTACCGAAAGAACCAAAGAGAATGCATACATTATCAGAGTACTGTATATATCTTTTTGCATTCTGACCACAAATCTTGTGGTTCATGCAGACATGATTCCTTGTAAAAGGTGTTTTTGTTGCCAGGAAAAAGGGGAAAAAAACCTATTGTCATATTTTGGTACTGGAAAAGGAGGGCCCCTGATGTAGAAAGTAATTGCTGTTGGAAACGCACGAGTAGTATTCTTTTTGATAAAATGGCCCTGTCCCAAGAACACCATTCTCTCCAGTGGCTCTGAGCCATGAACGAAAGATGAGCAATCCTATGATCAGGGGAGACGCTGACGTTTTTTTTTACTTTGGAAACATACATGGTGGGTTTGAATTTCAGTTTCCCATCGTGGAGAAGTGTAGTTCTGTCCACTGCCAATAGGAGGCAGTGCTGATCCGTAGATACTGCATTCAATGGCATGGACGTGAACTGTCGCTGACGATGTTATACACTTTAATACACACACGGATTCGGTGTCAATGACATACTTACGATGGGACTTTAATCAGGTGAGACTCACGAAGCAGAGTTTGCCTTTGTATTTCCATTCTATGAATGCGGTAATAAATGTTCATCATGGTTATACTCGTGATGGACGCGGCATGACATTCTTTGCGTGCAGGGGACAGGCGACTTGAACACTGGACACAACTAGCATCGAGGCATACACAGACCAGGTTCGTGAGCTCCCAATGATCCAGACCTCACGTGGTCAGTGAAATTAGGGGGGCGGGCGTTGTTTGCTCCGTGATAGTTACGTTACTCGAGAGGATGTGCGTAAGGAGTTGACAGGTCCGCATGCTTCCTTCACCACAACTTTAACTTCGGCTGTCTTGCACTGTCTGATCGTGTGACACTCATGGGCAGCGCGGTTTGCATTCGTCAACGTCATTATCCCATGTGAAATGCTCGGCTTCAGCACGCGTACTGGGAGCACGACCGATATTTTCCATGCTTTTTACAGTGAGGGAAATGCGATTTTCTGGATTTTGTTGTTGTTATTCTGTCTCTCACTGTTCAAATAAACCTACCATTAAAATTATAGACTGATCATTTCTTCGTCAGTGGGCAAACGTACAAAATCAGCAGGGGATAAAATATTTTTTTTTATCCCTCACTTCGCAATTGTCTGCATGTCTTGGGACACTTTCTCGGCAGTAGGTCTGTGACGACACGCAATCGTGTGTTTTGCCCATTCTTGTTGAATGCTTTCAGGCACAGTTAAAATACTTACCAGCGGTTCGATGGAATGACAATGTAAACCAAAAATGTATTCCGTGGGTAGTACAATAATTATGTTCCAGGTGCCCAAGCCTTAAGTGTGCAAGTCGTGTATATTGATGTCTATACAAGTGACATTATGCACACTTTAAGACATTCAGTGAATTTAATTGATAAAAAAATCTGACAGCCTTGCTGCCTTATAACGTGCACGCTTCTGCACCAGAGAACCAGAATTCTTCCACTCTAAATCAATATTAACACGGGTGCAGTGCACGTGGGATGCTGCCGTGGTGTGATGGTTCGCGCTGTCCACCCAGCAATATCACATGGGTACATGACAGTCGAACGGCAGGTTGCGTTTGGTGGGATAAAGCGTCGGTGCGCTCCCACCTCTTCCCAAAAAAAAATCTGGCCTGCGGGGGAGCGCCGAGGTTGGAGTGTTCTGGTTCGTTTTGCTCGTGGAGGAAACCGCAGTACGCGGTGAAAACCCGCCACGCCACGAGGGAATAACGTTCCAAAGTCCGCACAGACGGACTCACGAATCTACGTTCTGGCACTACCATCTTCTGGTCACTTTGGAGAATTTTACAAATCTGCACGTGGGTCATCCATTGGAGGCCTGCTTAATTAGACGTGCCTCCAATGAATAATGAGAGTTGTACATTTGTATCCAGCGGGGAGTTAATATATTGGTGACGAGGCAATTCATGGACAGGTGATTGATGAGCATTGGCGGATGGTGGCAATTCATGAATAAGGCGATATCTGCTTTGAGAAAGGGTCGCGGGCTACCCCGCCTCCCTCACCGCCTCCACCACCTCTCCCCCCACCCTCTCCACGTGTCATGTATCCCAGCCGATCATGCGGCAGTGCTCGGGGGAACGGCCCCTCCGCCGATCACTCTGGGAGTCCCCAGAATCGCTGCCATTCTCCAGCAGCAGCAGGCGCATCCTCGGCTGCGCACGCCCTGCATCCTGCCCGGCATCCCCTCGGCATGGCGCTGTCACTGGGATTCGGCCGCGCCCTGCTGCGCCGGAAGGCGGACGCGAGGGATGTGCTTATCGAGCGCAGGAACCTGGTGACCGTGTGCCGGTACGTGCGGGCTCCGTCCAGCACAGCGGGGGAGGGGGTCTCATCCATGCGCCCGTGTGATTTCATTTTTTTTTCTTCTTCTATTCACACCGCACATAAGCGTCCGGTGTTGTGGCGAGCGCGGCGGAGGCTTGCACGTCTTCGGTGAAGATGGCTCGCGCGCGTGTTCTTTACATTGTACGTGCCTTGCGTGGCTTGCGCTGAGCGTCTTGTGTGGTTGGTGTGTGTTTTGAATGTTGTGTATGTGTGTGTGTGTTACATTGATGTTCTGTATGCCTGGGCCGTCGTCCCATGTGTGTGTGTGTGATGCAAGGAGTGTCCTGTGTCTGTCTTTGTGCAATGTTTGTGCCGCGTATCTTACACGGATAGTCTGTCTGTCTTGTACGGAGCGTCCCGTGTGTATGTGTGCGTGTGTTGCTTGGTTTCCCTGTGTGCCTTACACTATGGATGCGTGTGTCTCGCACGGAGACTTCTGTGCGTCTTGCTCGGATGTTGTCTTGCAGGAATAGTTCCGTGTCTTGAATGAACATCGCTTGTGTTGTGCATGTATGCCCCCCCCACCGTCCCCCGTGCGTTAAATACTCTTGACAACATCTCGAGCTATCATTGATGCTGCGCTCGTGCGTGGTCTTGCGTGGAGTTTGTCCTGCGCAGCTCACCCATGCACGTGTCTGCTGCGTGTGAAATGCACGACTGCCGACCGTGTATCCAAAGAAAGTATCTGGTGTCCGTGCTCGTTGACGGGTATGCTTTTCGCTACGCGTCGTGGGTGATATGTCCCGATGTATGTTGGACTGCTTTCGCACCGTGCGTAGCCAACCATGGTCATCGGAGGTCCAATTACTGTATAGTAGAGGGTCATGGGTGCTGCGTTATATTCTTCACAAGCCTCTCTTCACACATGTCAAAGGTGCAGTATTTGCGTGGCCAGTGATGCTTCACTTGGCAGCCGCATGCATGGGGATGAAATTAATTAAATTACATAACCTTTGCACATTTCATCAATTAACTTGTTTTTTAAACATTCACTCGCACGTGTGTGCGATTGTCTTTAACAAGTGATCATTTTTTTTCAAAGCGAATATGATCAAATATTACTGGTTTGAATATGTTGTTTAGGTCGTCGGATTTGTAATTGGGACAGTAGCAATGCGTGTGCCATTGTCCAAATAACAATTGGCACACGCATTGCAGTGGTTTAGTTCTTCACCTAAAAGGCTGAGTGCAATCAACGATGCCGGGCTCCTTTCAGTGAATGCTGTTGTGAAGCACGGTTCCTCTACCCACGCTTGCAGCTACGTGCAACTTTTTACATCCAATTTGCTTAATCGTCGGTGGAACCTTTGGAAAAAACGAGTCTCTCGTGGTACCACGCTTAACATAATAGATATGCGCTACAGGAGAAAAAGAAGATGATGCATGCGGTGACATAACATGGTTGATTGGCATGCCCCTTCTTGCAAGGCATTAATGGAGGGGGGTTCTTTTTCCATAGCTGGCACATTGACCCATATAGCCTGTGGGCCATGGTGCAACTGTACTAACCTGCACCACCTGCATCGTTCAAAGCTACGCCACTGGGTAAATGCATGGGTTCTCGAGCTCGCTATATGCGGTGGTGTAGGTTGGACCTGACAGCAGCTTGCAGACGTGTTGAGTCTTGAGCGCACCGTTACTTGTGTAGTGCAGCGCTCCATGCGTCTTCGGGATGTGTTCGTTCCGAACAACTTCCGTTACATTGAGACAGAGGAGAACAAACAGCTATACGGACATCACATTTGCTGTTAAGAAAATTGTGTGGGCACGGGAAGGACACGTCTCTAGAAGGGGTGCTGGCCGGTGGTGGAGACGAACATTGGAGTGGCAGCTCATGGGAGGAACGAGCCAGAGGATGTCCACCACAGAGTGATGACATCAACTTGTGTTTGGGTGCTCGGTTGCTTCTTACGTCATCGCAGAGCCGTGAGGGATGGAGACGGCCTTTGTCCAGCAGGGGATTAAGCATGGCTAATGTGAACTCCCAAGGGTGCAATTGTACACGTGCACTTATTGAGTGAATCTGTACGCTTGCACGCAAGTCTGAAAGTGGAGATGCGTCTTGAGTGCTTTATGAATCGCTGCCACGTTACGGTGCGGCTCTGTGCAGGTGCTCGCCGTGTGTACATCACCAGGGAAGCCTGCAACTACTCAGAACAGGTCCTTTGTGCTGTGGTGTAGCTATCGAGTGTGCAGGTGGTCAGACTGCTCTTGGACCCGTGGGCTGCAAAGGGGGGGGGGGGGGGGGATATCGTTCTTTGCGCAAGGGCACATGCCAAGCATCTCCACACGACTCTTAATGTGCATGCTGCTCTGAGTACAATCAAAACTCATTATACGCTGTGGATGATTATGGATGGTGAAATAACACGGACAAATATCCATCTCTCCGCATAAGTCCCTTTTTTATTCCATTAGGCTGTGCAATTTCTGAACGAGAGCTATCCGGCAGAATTTGTTTAAGCAAGCAAATTCGGTGCCAATTTAAAACACCTAGATCCCATGAGATTCAGAGGATGAAAAATGGTTCAGATTTTTCTTGAGAAAACAAATGCTGCTGGATAGCATTTCTGGAAGGTCCACTGCCTAATAAAGTAAAACCAACTAAATTTTGTCAGGAGAGACATGATCTCTGCAATAGCAACGAGCTCTTGATTTTAAACCACATTACGCAAGGGGTTATAATCATGTACTGCTGTCACCTTTGTCATAAAATCTGATTAAAGTTGCAACAATATTGTCGGTTTATCTCAAATTATATCATTTTAATTAATATTTTATACTTTAATTATGTCAATCTAGATGCGAACATTAACACAGGATCAATTGGACTACATTGAAATCTGATATTAATATACTCTTAATACTACCGAAAAAAAGTATTCTCAATTGCTTCTAATTATGCTATTGACTTCATGCCAAGATAGTATCCATTCCAAACTCGAGCAGTCATCACCCTATGCATTAGGAAATGGCCGAATGAAAGCGATATTACAGAACTACATCCGAGACCCCTTCAAGTGACCTTCTTAGCCACACAGAACGGGGCACTGCATTTTCCCATCTGCCCTGCTGCAGGGAATGTATGTCAAAATGGCAGTCAAACTGAAATATTTTTTCCCGTTAATTCTCAGCTGAAAACTAGGCCAATTTAGTTAAACAAAGTACCGTATTTTCCCGCATATAGCCCGCATACACATATAACCCGCAGACGCATATACCCCGCAAAAATAGCGTTTTGTGTAAAACAAATTTCAGATAGCCCGCACCTCCATATACCCCGCATGCATTCATATATTGCCCCTAACCCCCCACCTCTCTCTCCCCCCAGCTGCCCCATCTCCCAACCCCCACCTCTCACCTCTCTCCCCCCCAGCTGCCCCCCCCCCCCACCTCTCTCTCCCCCCAGCTGCCCCACCCCCCAACCCCCACCTCTCTCTCCCCCCAGCTGCCCCACCCCCCAACCCCCACCTCTCTCTCCCCCCAGCTGCCCCACCCCCCAACCCCCCACCTCTCTCTCCCCCCAGCTGCCCCACCCCCCAACCCCCCACCTCTCTCTCCCCCCAGCTGCCCCACCCCCCAACCCCCACCTCTCTCTCCCCCCAGCTCTCCCGTCGCCGGTAAACAGTGCGCGCACTTCAAACATTGTCGTTTAATTGTACAAACAATTAATTTAAAACGTGATAACGTGCAATTTTTGTGTGAGTGGTTTATTCAGCAGTGCTTTAGTCCAAGGTAAGTGTTGCAAAGTGGATAGTCCTACCATGAAAAAATGTAACGAGTCATGACATGTCACACGTGTAAAATATTTTTGGGATAGCCCGCAACTCCATATACCCCGCAGGGTCTTTCTTTGTTTGTAAAAATTGGTATACCCCGCGGGTTATATACGGGAAAATACGGTATTTGATTTTTGTTTGCAGTCATTTGTGACCCGGCTGAGACTGTAAACTCACTATAATTTGCAAAAAAATGTCATCACGGTTGGCCGAAGTTTGAATTTAAACCCAGGATCTCGGTGGTGCAGCCTCGGTACTCTGACCCGTCAGCTACTCGACCACATCAGCTTAATGAGATCATTGAAGAATGTTGAAGATTGTGACTTGTTCAGTGCAGTAAAATGTGTAATGAGGCCTAAAACTGGGACCTCTACTACAGTTTTTGCTCAACAATAACAATCGTACCAATTTTTTAAGACGGATCATCTCGGAAGGAGAGACTTGGAGAGGGCTTGCTCAAGAGCTGATGATATCTGGTCGGTCTGACTTTCTGTAATCGGTCTGACTTTTTTCGCACAGCTGGCAGAGTAGGGGGTGTCCTGTTTTTTTAAAGGAGTTAGAGCTCCCGTGTAAAAAAAGATAGATACATTTCTAACAGAGATTGCACTTTCATCCCCATGTACCTAAATTTCACAGTAAAGCCACGCAAATTAACACTTTGCATGGCTTGATCGTGGCAGATTTCACCAATATCCCTTGCAAAATAGACTCCCCCCACTCATTGCCGTTCAGAGGCTGCACAGAGCCTGCATGTGAATACAGAGGGGGGGGCGGGGTGTGGCAGACATCACTGCTCTCCCTGCGGGAGCTTAAGTGAAATCAACCGGTAAGCGGTTGCTTTAACATGCAAGTATAAAATCCGTGGTTGATATGTAAGTGAATATGCGTCCTATGCTCAGGAGGTTATAATTCCAAGCATTTTCCCATCGGATCAAGTAGCTCAAATCTTTTTTTGACAGTTGTGGTAATGGACGTTTAATGGGTGAGGCTGGTGAATGCGGAACAAAAGACATTCAACATCGTACACGGCTGAATGTGCATTGCCTAGCACCGTTTGCATTTACAATATTATACTTATTACCAGGATATAGTTTACCGAATGAAGGATTACTTATGGGTTCCAGTGCTGGTTTAGCAGATTTTGAAAAATCTTAAACACAGTATAATAAAAAAAAAAGTATATAC